ATTAGTAAAAGCTAATTTGACTTTATTCCAAACTCTTCAAGATAAACTTTGGTTTAAACCAAAAAATATGCCAAACTGTGATATCATTGCATCATTTTTTTCCCGCTATAGTTATTTTTTTTTAGCCATTTTTAATTACTTTTTTGTGTACAGTACATGGTAACTTGGTTTAGTGGAGTTTAACCAGATTAGTTAAGGGTTTTTGACTGAAATTCTTTGAATTATTTGAAAGGACATAGTTGTGAATGTAATTAATATGTGTGTAGAGTTGACTGTTTAACCTCAATTCACCCTTTCATTTGTTGCACTAATGTACAGCCAGTCAGGTGTGTTTTCACATATGACAGTCCAAAAATATTTTGATTAAAACACCTATTTGCCAACCCAACTGGGCTGGGCTTCGAATATAAAATGATTGCATAACATCAGTTAATTATTTAAATAATTTTGGTTAAAAAAATGTATGTATCTATTCTTGTTCTTTTACCTCAGTTTGAAATAAGGTTGACAAAAGGAATTTTAACATTTCAAGTGACACAAAAGCTTTTAAGGTGTTTTATATATGAATTCAAACAAATCTTAATATTAATGCAACATTAATAATGCAATGGAGCCCAAGCTTTGTGTTGGTGTGCAATTGAAACAGTTCTCTGAAGGAGACCCTTGAATATTTGATTTTATACTGAAAGAAAAAAATAAAACAGAACACCAGGCAGATTTCATAAACAATCCATGCAACTTGAAGGACAGCCAACAATTGGGTAGAAATGAATGATTCATTTTATCCCCCGTGGCCCAAGCAAGAGATAAACAAGATACCTGAAAGATAAAAGAAGACCTGCTGTTGTAAAGGTAAACGTGAGAAGGAGTCAAGTCCTTATTAAGCATCATTCGATAGGTTTGAAGAGGCAGTGTGGAAGATGGAAGCAAGATAAGAAGAAACAGGAATTATGAAGGTAAATCTAAGAGGACACCACTAAGAGTACATGGGCAGAGCATTAAACATCAGAGCAAATATTACTAGAGCAAGAAACTGTTCATTCAAATTATTTTATAAATTTAACCAAGTGAGACGACTAAGAACTAATTTTTTTAAACGCAGACGTGGGACCCGCGCTGGAGATTTCAGGGAGTAAAGCCTGGGTTCTGTTAAAGCCTTGCTACATTAATTAGCACCACCTGATGATGGAGATTAGAGGACTATAAATGCTATTGTCTAAAACTTTTTAACCAGTTTGTGTATATTTGGACAGATAATGAATATTAACTATATGGCTATCACCGTTTTGGTTCTGTTGTTTTCTTTTGAGTTCTCAGTTTTGCTTTGCTCCATGTTTTCTGGTTTTAGTGGTTTATTTCTTATTTTGTTGTGTTTCCTGGTTATTTTTAGTTTTCAGGTTTTTTATTTGTTGCCCTCTGCTGCACTCTTGTGTTCTCCTTTTTCCCTAGCTCCTTTCCTATTCTGTTCTGTTCACACCTGCT